TATCACACTGCTGAGATGTTCCTGCCTCTAGTACAGCGGTTCTCAACCTGTGGGTCACAACCCCTTTGGGGGTCAAACGACCCTTTCACAGGGGTCGCCTAAGACCATCGGAAAACACATATATAATTACATATTGTTTTTGTGATTAATCACTGTGCTTTAATTATCTTCAGTTTGTAACAATGGAATTGGGGGTCACCACAACATGAGGAACTGTATTAAAGGGTCGCAGCATTAGGAAGGTTGAGAACCACTGCTCTAGGAGGATACGTCTACCCCACGGCCTCTTTCCACAATCCTTGCCCTTTGCTCTGGGCCTTCCTAGGCTGCTCCTGTCAGAGGTGAACAGGGGTACAGGCCAGCAGTTGGGCCAGCAGACAGAACCACATGTGTCTTGCCACTAGTTTGGGTATTTCTAGAACCTATGGGTGGGGAGGAGGGTCTTTCAAAATTCACTTCTCCTCAGCTGCTTCTCCTGAGACCTAGGAATCCTATTAAAGACCATGGCAGCTTGTCTCCACGTGGCGGTATCAGGAATCTTCCTCAAAACATGTTCTGTCTTGCCCACCTGATGAATGCAAAGGCATCTTTATCTACCAGCAGAGGTAAACTCTGCCCCACTCAACCTGGTGCTGGGCAAAGACAGATGCTGACCACCCGAGGGAGATCTCCATAAGGCCTCCCCAGGGAGCGCCATGCCCTCCACCCCTGTAGAGAGGGGCTTGCTTGGGTTGGGCCTGGAAGGAAGGCTGTGCTTGCAATGAGTGATAAAGGCCGCCTACATGGGTCGTTATACTTTTAGAACTCAGAAAAATTGTGCCAGGAGACGTCTGTGATAGGTTCTCTGGATTTATTTGTATGAGTGGTAAGGATCTAGGCATCTTGAAAAAAAGAGGGGATACAGCCACAAGATTCGCCCCACCCCCACCGTCACTGGAAACCAGCAGCTTCCTCCTCAGCCCCCTCTCTCTGATACAGAGCTCCTTGGGAAAGCAGGATGCTGCTTTTTAAAAGTACTCATTGACCTTGAACTTTTAGATGTGTTTCTCAATTTTCCCCTTTTATCACTGTCCGGCTAACATTATGCTATGTCATTTCTTAAGTTCCGGTATTTAATGTAAAATATTGAATGAAGACATATTTTACAAGCAAGCTACACAACTGGATATGGGAGGAGGGAACATTTTGCCAACCATGTCTATCCTTTCTCTGGGCACTTGACAAACATTCCTGGCATCCAAACAAGCAAGGGGGCAAGAAGGCATTCCGTCGGCATTCCTGCTCCTCTGGTTCACAGGGCCAATGTGCCCTGAGACTAGGGGCATAAATACCATACAATGAGGGCTTTGAGTCAGCATTGGGTTAGAATCTCAACTCTGTCATACATGAGCTGTAGGAGCCTCCATGTATTCATCTGTAAAATGGGATCGTTCTCAATAAGAGAATTCATGTAAAATGGCATTGGCCTGCACATATAGGTCCAATAAGTGCACATTCTTATCATTTTAATGCTAGCACTTGAGCATCTCCTATTCAGGACAGCCCTGGGTGTGTGTTCACAGCGCTGGTGTGGGTTCACATGAGGGTCAGGCCCTGTCAGACAGAAGCCCCCTCTTCCTGTCAGACCTCCCTGACATCCGCACTCCATTCCTCATCTGCCTCATGTTTCTTCCCAGAGTTGTTTCCCTCTTTCCACCCCTCCTTCCTCTCTCTCCCGGAGTCTAACTGCCTCCTCAGTGGCCCTCGGAATCCCTGCCGTGTCAGGCAATCCTTCTCGCTCAGTGTCAACATCACCAATGCTCCTGGGATGCTGTGAGGGGGAGAAGCCACTTGTTTCAACCAACCCACCCTCTACATTTATCGCAGCCCTATTCCCTGGACCATCCTTCAATCCTCCCCTGCTCCATAAAAACATCTCATTATCTCCTAAGCTCACATTTGATCATGTGTTCTGCCTTAGCTGCTTACATCTGAGATCTTTCTGTCTGAGGCTTCCACTCATAGCTGGCTGATCTTCAGATTGTGCTGAAAGGCACTGACTTTGCAGAGTCTCGATCCTCAGGAGCGTGTCCCTGTCCCCTCACCAGTCCCTGAATCCAGTTCTTCAGGAGGGCATGACTGTGGATGACTGTCTGCTGGCTGGTCTGGGGGGCTTCCAGCCCTCTCAGAGACCACCCTTCCTGTGCTGCCTGGCTCTTTCTCTCCTTCCCAATGTCAGTCTGAAAACTAACAGAATCGTGATTTTGCTTGAAAAATCGAGAAAACTCCAGAGCCCTCCAGTGAAGCTGCTGCTTTCTCCTCAGTGCAAAGAATTGGGCCAGATGCGGTCATTGTCATCTTGAGCATTTCGGTGGATTTATTAAGTCTTGCACAGAGTTTCAATCACTTGATAAATAGACTAGAAGCAAAGACCTGCCTGAAAAGGGCCAAGGCCTTCATGTTTTCTTAGGGATCGGTTTCCCTTACTGTGGTTCTTATACATTTACCTGTGAGAAATTCCTACAAGCCACTCTGCCTGCTGGGAGGCTTGAAGAAAAGTGCCCCCGGTTGATAACCACTGGTTTACACATACACACACACCTATTAGCCCAAGAGCAGAGGTGCAAACATCCAGCAGGGAGAACATGCTTCTAGGAGTCATTGCCTTTGCCCGTCAGCACCCAAGAGAGCTAAGCAAGACGTGGGAATTCCTGCTGCCGGCTCACAGGGACTAAATCCTCTCCAAAGCCATAACATTTCAGTGTGTGGGTGTCAGGGAGGTAGAGGCCTACTGTTGAGATGTGAACCGAATGAGGCACAAGGACTAAACATGCAGGTGTGACCATGTGCCACACCTGGGGAGGTCTCCCCTGCTTGTGGCAAATCACTGACAGAGAATGGGCAGACTGTGTTTGAAAATAAACCTCATGGGTGGATTCGCCTGGGCTAACTCGTGCAGTTCTTCTGACTGCATTCAGCATGAATGTCCTGACCCACAGCCCCATGGACCATCACAGCAGGGCCCGGGGCTGTCTGTGCTGGCCATTCTGGAAAGGCTCAGTGCAGTCTCAGGAATTTCAAGTATACATCCCATCAGTCACTTTTCAGCAAGTATTTAAGAGCCCACCTTTCAAGTCCTTGCTACGTAAAGTATGGGCCACAGGGTGGGAATTGCCTGGGAGCTTGTTAGAAATGCACAGTCTCAGGCTCTGCCCCAGAACTGCTGAATCTGAGCCTGCACTTAACCAACTCCTCGGGGAATGTCTAGGACTATTAAGGTTGAGAAGCCCTGATGCTAGTAACTCAGGAAAGGGTAAAGGTCTGTTCCTTCCCTCTGGAAGCTCACACTCTGGTTGGGAAGACATGACTCATAGATATGAAACAAAGGAGCAAGTCAAATCATCAAGCACGTTTCAGAAGGAAACGAGTGCAGAACACCAGGACCAAGGCCTGCCTCAGCCACTTACTGTCACTGAACCTCAGCTGTCTCGGCTGTAAAGTGGGAATAATACTGGTTCTGTCCGGCTTACAGATTGTCCTAGATGGGAAAACAATACAGCCATATGTGCAAACTAACGTTACATACTCTGAGGGCTACAGAAGTTGAGAGATGAGGGCTAGGGATAACTAGAATGGTCTGAAAAGATCCTTGGGGGACAGAACAGGGGGGCTCGAGGTAGCCTTTTAAAAATATTGACTCATACCCTGAAACTGGCATTATAGTAAAGATGGAAAAATGCACATTTTGACAACTGCACCTAATACAGCCTCTAGCCCAGGCTAAATATAGAGCTTCTACTGACCAACTCTCATCCTGACAACCTGCTAACGATCAACACCATGGGTCTCAGAAACACACACTCAGTGCCACCAGGTGTTTTACCGAAGACAGGAAGCAGGTGGAGGCAGTCTCTCTGGGGAGGCTGGCAAGAGCCCTATGGCTACAAACCTTAACTCTGGTTTGGGGCATATAGAAATGGGGCTGCTTGTTATTTTGCAGAGCTGATCTGTGAAGATGCCTGGACACTGCAAGGCAATGCCTGGGGGAGTGGGAGGTAAAGAAAATCAGCAGGTGGATAATCAGTTTCCTTGGTAATATTTCTTATGCGTTTGCTGTGTACTAGATGCTTTCATACCTTCCCATCCCCAACCCCCCATTTAATCCTCACTCTGACCCTAAGAACCTTATGAAACAGGGAATTCTTTTGTCCCTACATCACAGTTGAGGAAACTGGTAATTTAGGGTTAGAACCCAGGTTGGTCTGCTTTCCAAAGCCCATGACCTTAACTGCAAGCTACACTGCTAGGGGATTGTGAGAATTTCTGGTCTTCCTCGTGCCGTTGAAAACAATGTGACTTTGCTTTTGTTGCGAAACCTGGCTCCCTTGGACTCGCTGACGTTTGCCATGCTTGTCCTGAGCTTCTCCAGAGAAATGCTGTCTTCTGGCAGGAAAAGATAAAAAGGGCTGATACAGATGAGTCACCGCACTCGCTATAATTAACAGTGATGCAAGAGCCAGATGCAAACTAAGAGGGGCCCCAGGACCTGCCTTTTAAGTGGCCAGAACTTTGAGCTGCACTTCAATGCAGAAAAGAGTCTCCGTGGCTCAGCCACAGGCTGCTCAATATACATTTAAAAGGGAGAAATGAAACCCGGAATGCCTGCAAGCTCCAAGATAATGGAGCAGAGAAGGGGACACCAAATTAATCTCCTTATTTACAACTGGAAAACCATACACCAGAACCGGAAAGAGAGTTTATAGTTTATAGATAATGTAGATCTTGGCTTTCACACTTGGCCGCCCTGGAACGTCTAAGTGGTTTTCAACCTGCTGAGCTGATTTACGGCAACTATAGCTGTAAATTCACTTGTACTAGGTGTTCAGCTTATACCCTCCTGATGGTACTGTGTAATGGTGAACTTTTCAAAAAAGACTCATAATCGTTAGTATCTCTCTATTCTCTTTTGCTGACCTGGAAAAAGAAGTGATGCAATGATAGCCTGATTAAAATGACCCCTAAAACACAATCCCCCCCATGCTGTCCACAAGCCCGTTCAGCCAGCTCCCACGCAGTCCCTTTAAGATGTGAGCAGAAGAGGGGCCTCTCTGGCTGCTCCTCTGAGGGATAACTGCCTCCTTAGTTCCCACAGGAGGAAATAAATAGTGGTCAGGACCTGGGACAGGCTCAGCTAGCCATCATCGATGTAGGCGGTATCTTCTTACCTATTTAAAAGAGGCTCAAAGGTTTGAGCTCAATAGGGCTGATAGAATCTTGCCACTTTCCTTTTGAATAGACTTTAATTGAGAGCGAAGTGAAAAAAAAAAAAATGCAGGTTACAGTTTTAGTGTTATCCATACGTTGTAAGATCAACACCGAGACAGTGATGCATCTAACGTTTATACATTTCCTAACTTTAGTTGTCAAAGAGCAAATCATTATCAGATAGATATATTTACACAATAATTTCAAGCAACAGTAAATAAACAACCCCCTCCCTTAAAAATCCGGAGAAAAAAAAATCACACACATCCAATTACCTTTAAACAATGGATTTCCTCACCCTAGTAAGTATCATTTTTTTGCACATATACTTGTAGATCCAAAGTGACTTAAGTTACTGAAGAACAGTCTCATCAGTGAGATCTCAGATCAGCCCTATTTCTTTTCGAGTCGCTTTAATTTTTACAACTTGAAGCCACATAACCAGCGTGGCCTGTGCACTTGAAGGACCCTAAGGACACCCCACATGATAAAAAACGAATTCCACTTCCTTTGTGGAGGAGATACGTACATCTCTGAAGACGCATATGACTACAATTCAAAAAGTCAAAAATGAAGACAAAACCAAAATCTCAGATCTTCAAACAGGGCGTCTTTAGAGCATTGTGTTAATGTTAACATTGAATTAACTGAATGGTAATATTCTTTCATATTTCTCTACAGAGTTGCTAGTTAGTTCTGATTCTTTTTTCAGCTGCTTGAAACACACGAGCTTTTTTAAAAACCTGCCTGGCAGCGCACAGCAGCCTGCCTAACCTCCGCACTGTCGGACGGGTCTCACCCCCGGGGCCCCGCTCTCTGATTTATTTCTTGCTATAGCTGTTAGTAAATGGAAACCATGACAAAGTTTACATTAGCAGACACATACACATGCCCTGGCCTATAAATATTCTATGATGGAAAATGGTACAATGACTCCATTCCCAGTGAAAATGAGCGTAAAAGAAGAGGGTGGGGGAACCTTCTCAACAATGGCTCTTCTTACACTGGGAAATCCAGACCAAACGGCGATGTCTGTCGTTGGCCACCTCTCCGGGGCCTTGTGAGTCAACTACAAGTTGGCAGAGTGGAGGCCACCTTCTCCGGGGAAACCTGGTGGGATCCAGTAGTACACGCATCTTGTCTTGGAAGCTGGATGAAGGCGAGCTGCCATTTCCTTCTTAGAGAGGTGAGTGAGGAGGGATTTTTAAAGTCAGATTTGGAAAGCAGTTCCCACACTGTCCTGCCTGGGACACAGCTCTGTCACTGGGTTGGTCCCCTCAAAGTGCCAGCTGGAGCTTGGTCATGTTTCTCTGGTGCATGTTGTGATGGCGGACTAATTCGTCTGACCGGGCGAACTTTTTCTGACAACTGGGCCACCGACAGCTGAAGGGCTTTTCACCTGTTGACACAATTGCCAGTCAGATACTTGCAACGGAAAAGATGGTATATGTTTAACTCAAAGGCCTGAGTTAATGCCACAAGGCACCCACTCTTGATTCCCTCTAGTTTTGTCCCTAAGCTAACGCACCAGGCTCACTTCAGGGGCAGCTCTGAGATGGCAGCACTTCTGAGGCCTTAAAATACTGTAACAAATTAGAAAATAATAGAGGTCGGGTGCATGAAATTCATGCCCTTGCGGTGTGGCAAGGGGGGGTATCCCTCAGCCCGGCCTGTGCCCTCTCACAGTCCGGGAGCCCTCGGGGGATGTCTGACTGCCTCAGAAGCTGGAGAGGCTCCTGCCACCGCCGCTGCACTCGCCAGCCATGAGCCCAACTTCTGGCTGAGTGGCACTCCCCCTGTGGGAGCACACTGACCACCAAGGGGCAGCTCCTGCGTTGAGCGACTGCTCCCTGGTGGTCAGTGCACATCATAGTGACTGGCTGTTCTGCTGTTTGGTCTATTTGCATATTAGCCTTTTATGATATAGGATTATTAAGTCAGAAGACTTGGGAAATGAGAGACTATGAATGAGAATGCCTCGGTAATCATATAAAGTGAAGGGAGGGGAACACTTATTTCAACCTCTCCTGTTAAACTGTTTTATGAACTGTGTAAGTAGGGCATTGAACTTATCTGGGCTGCAAGGGCCTCAGGATGGTCACCCTAGATGTTACTGATTAACTGCCATTCAGCAGTAGAGCTGTGACTGCAGCTTTCCTATCTCTGTATAGATAGAGATTCTGGACAGGCTGAGTATTTTAAATAAGTCACTGATACTAGTGTGCATGGTATTTGCTTCTATTTCCTTAAAGTGTTACTCAGAGCATAATTCTGTTACACAGAAAATTCTAGTTGAGGCATAGTCTTGAGATTGTTAACAAGTCTGCCAAAAGATCAACCCTTCTCCATCTAAGGCGCCCTCAGAAGTTCTTTCCGCCGAAACCGGTTTGGCTCAGTGGATAGAGCGTCGGCCTGCGGACTGAAGGGTCCCAGGTTCGATTCCGGTCAAGGGCATGTACCTGGGTTGCGGGCATATCCCCAGTGGGGGATGTGCAGGAGGCAGCTGATCGATGTTTCTCTCTCATTGATGTTTCTAACTCTCTATCTCTCTCCCTTCCTCTCTGTAAAAAATCAATAAAATATATTAAAAAAAAAAAAAAAAAAAAAAAAAGAAGTTCTTTCCAAGCCTCACTCTGTACAGGGAAGATAATTAGCATTTATCACGTGCCTAAAGTATACCAAGCTTTGTGCTGACCATCATCTATATATACAAAAGCCTAAATGACTGTTACGAACAAACGACCGGAATGACCTGAAAGACCGGTCGACCAATCACTATGATGCACACTGACCACCAGGGGGCAGACGCTCAATGCAGGAGCTGCCCTTGGTGGTCAGTGCACTCCCACAGCCAACCTCCTGTGGCCTCTCCCTGCCAGCCAGCCAGTCCCAAATGCCCTGATAAGAACCTCCTGCGGCCCTGATCAGGACTGGGTGAGGTGCCTCCATCAGCCCCGACTGCTGGCCAGGTCGAGGGACCCCACCCATGCACGAATTCGTGCACCGGGCCTCTAGTATGTGTGTGTGTGTGTGTGTGTGTGTGTGTGTGTGTGTGTGTGTGTGGCTTGTCTCATGTACTCCTTAGAATAGCTCTGTAAGGGAAGTGTTGTTATCCCCACTCTACAGATGACAGTGCACATCTGGGCAAGGCAGACACAGGCAAGACTCCAATTCAGGTCAGTCCAATTTCAGAACCTGTGCACTTTGTTGTATCCCACCTCCATAATGCAAATATAGCTGTGACTTCACACTAAGTACAAGTGCCACAGAAGCCAATCCCTTGTACCACCTAGGGGATCTTCTCATGATATCGTTGGTCCCCCTTCACCTTTTCTGAGAAATACTGGTCAGGACAAGCACTAAGAAAAGTCCCAGGGGAGGTGCTGACCCAGGGTCAGAGCTGGGGGCCCATCAAGTATAGCATTAAATAGTCTACTGGTAACCTAGGTCACCAGGACATATGCAGATATGCACAGGTTTGGGGGTTGAGGTACAAGGAATAGAAACTCTTTCCCACCAAATTATGAGCTCAGGACTAAGGCAAAGAAGCAACACCAAAGGCATCTGAGTAGGGCCAACGAGATGCCCATCCCACCAACTCTGGGGCACAGGTGCCTTGACTCTGTCTGTAAGAGCAGCATGTTTGGGTTGAAAATCTGGGACTGCACGAGCGGCTCATGACGCCAGCCTTCCTTTACCTCAGTGGTTCTCAACCTTGGCTGCACATTAGAATCACCTGGGAATCTTTTTAAAATCCTGATTTCTGGACCTCATCCTCCGAAAATTCTGTTTCTTTGTTATGGGGTGAGGCCACAACATTAGTAACAAAGAAACAGAATTTCCGGAGGATGAGGCCCAGAAATCAGGATTTTAAAAAGATTCCCAGGTGATTCTAATGTGCAGCCAAGTTTGAGAACCACTGCTTTACCTCCTGCTCACTGTTCCTCTGCTCCTTCTAATCTGGCTCCTGCTCCCAGTCTCTACTCCGAGCCATGCAGCCAAACTCCTGTCCAACCCTTTCTCTTGCTGTCTTCATTCTCCTCAGTCTATCAATGGTATTCAGCTCTGCTGACTTTCTACTTGATCCTCTTTCCCCCATGGGCTGTGAGGTAAACCCCAACCCCCCAAACCTTTCTCCAACAAAGAAGGCATATGGTGGGCTGGGAGCAGATAAAACTGGGTTTGCTACTTACTAGCTTTAGGACTTTACACAAGTCATTTAATCACTATGTGCCTCAGTCTCCTCATCTGTAAAATGGGGATAAAACATGCCTGCCCTACTCTTCTTATAAGGATGATGTTAAGATAAAGTATGCTAACCTAGACATTGGCCCTCTTTCCAAAGCTATAAAATACACAACAAAGATGGTGCCATTTTCATTATGAATCACACCAGCCTTATGGAGAAGCAAAAGCCTTCAACAGCCAGTGAATAAATGCTAGATTCCCCTTCTCGAGACTAGTACAAAGGAAATAATATCCACATACTGATGTGAGTCTGGCAGAAGCCATAGCAGCTCCTGGGGCACTAACTTTTAGCAGAGAAAGAATTCAGATCTCTGAAAATAGTGTCATGAAACATCAACTTTCAGAGAATAAATGTTTAGCTTGCTAGATTTGGGCTTGCTAGAATTTCTGTTGTTCTTCTGTGAGGTTGATTATCCTATCAAGCTGAGTGATAAAAAAAATACGATGAAACAAATTGGGAACAGAGGGACCTACGTTATCTCTTCATTCTTATTTTGGACACTCATGAAAAGTTCTTTTCACATCTCTCTTCTATTCTGTATCAATCCCCCGCCCCTTCTTAAACAATGTTGTTTAAAATAGCCATAGAATGTTCTTTCTCTCATCTGAGTCTAAACCTGTTTAGAACCATTTTACACTAGTCTTTTCCAATCTCTCTCATCATAAACAACTTCATTCCAACAGTAGTTTAAAAAATAATGAAAAATAAATGTGAAGAAAAGTTTACGCACTTGTTTTACCTGTATGAGTCCTGGTGTGGGTCTTCAGGTGGTCGGACCGGGAGAACTTTCGCTGACAAGTTTTACACTGGAATGGTTTCACACCTAGACGGACAGAGAAGGTCTAACCGCAGCCCTAACAACGTGGGGGCATGACGAGGCCCAGAAGGCCTGCTTCCCGGAGGCCGGAGGAGCCGGGCATTTCCAGCCACGCCTGCAGCATCTGCCTCACTCTCAGATTTCCCCCAGGCCCAGCATGAACCACCCGATTCTGTGCATAACCCTGAAGACCTGCTTCTGCTCTTGGAAACAATTATTCTTTAACCACAGATGTCCAGGTTCTGACCAAGGTCTCAACTGTGTCCAAGACTGAAAAAGAGGATCATACTCTACAGATGGGATTCCGATCTCCACCACCCATGATCTTTACTGGTGCTCAGTGTATCATCAGCAAGTAGCTAGTGGAACCTCATTGTTCTGTGGTCTGCATGATAAATATGGGGTGCTTCTTTCTCTTTCCTCCCTTTCTTTTTTTTTTAAGAGAAGGAAAATCCCCAGCAATTAGAAAAGAAATTAGAAAAATGAAACAAATGGCTGACCCTCTCACATCCATATTTAACAACAAAGAAAATCACAACATCAACTGTAATGCAAGGGAGCACACTGCCGGCAATGAGAAGTGAACCTACAAACCTGTGTGTCTCCTTTGGTGTCTTTTGAGCTGGTCTGAACGAGAAAACCTTCGCTCACAGTCCTTGAAGTCACACTGGTATGGTTTCTCACCTTGGAGGAAGACACAGACTCCATTTGAAAATGATACCGGAAGTGGGGATCTCATTAAAGGCAACCTCTCCTCTTGGGACTGAAGGGGTCCCCAAGGGCCTCAGGCACTTCGGTGGAGCATGTTAGTGTGGCCTTGCCAAATGCAGTGTGTGGTTAAAGGCCCACCTATCCATGGGCTCACTGTCAGTGACAGAAGACTGGGAAGGCTAAGTGAATGAGGATGGTCCCTCACCTCCCAGTTAGAAGTGAACGGAAACCCAGGTTCTGGAGTCTGAGACCAGGGTCACATCCCACTCTGGCACTGTAAGGGCTGGGTGAGCTGTGGTTTCCTCATTGTGAAAAGGGGCCAATAATCTGACAACTTCCAAGGATTTATAAACTGATTAAACCAGACCATCTACAGAAAGGGCTTAGCCCAGTACCTAGCACAGAAGCGTGCTCAAAAATCACTGGCAGAGAATATTTAGACAAATAACAAACGAAAGAAATCTTAACTCCTAGACTGAGTCTGAGGCAGAATTCTGAAATGGACGTGCCTTGGAGCAGGCCCATATTCTATGGCCTGAAGATTTGGTGTTCTCTGCTACTGACTTCTCATTCCTGAGTCAAGCATAAACAGTTCCATGGTTGTGAGACGCTCAAGTTAAACCAGGAGCTTAGAAAGATTTTGCTATCCCTTTATCAGAGAGAAGTCAGTAGTGGGATTACACAACCTCCTGTCTCAGAATGGAGAAGCCCCACCCTGTCCTCGCTCAAGAGAGTTCAGCCAAACACTGGGAGCTGAGCCCCAAGAGTGCACTCAGAGACCTCGGGCCTTTCCACCTTCGTATGAGAATTCTGAGTCACCCGCATTCTGGGATGGAGTTCTGGGATGGAGAGCAAGTCCTCCCACCCGCCCCGCCACCTCCCCCCAACCAGGGCTCCGTCGGGTCTTTCCATTCCAGGGCAGTCCCTAGTTACCTATCCAGCCCCATAACCTCCTCTATCTCCCCTGAGTAATCTGTACTCCTGCTATACCAAAGCTCACCATTCCCGAAATCTGCCTCACCCTTTGCTCACACTAAATGCCCTTGGTCCCTATTCCCACGTTCCTACCGGCAAAAAGTCTGCTCTAAGTTCCTCACAAATGCCTGTTCATCTGTGATGCCTTCCTGGAAACGTCGTGTGCAGACTGAGAGCCCTTCCTTCCCTCCTTACAGAATTTATTACAGAACATCGGATGCGGTGGGCTGTGCCCAGGTCTGCCTCCTCCACCGGCTGGAAATTCCTGAGGGCAGGAGCCTTTCCTTAACTTGCTACTTGTCCCCAGCCCAGTGAGTGACTTAGCTTCATCTCTACAATTGGGGAGGACAATACCACTATTTGGTCGCATTTCTTTTCCCTGCCTTTCTGTTTCTGCTCCTGCTTTTCCTTTTTCTGCCTGACCTTAACCTTGATGGTCAGCCCACACCCATCTGCCACCAAGAAACCTCCTGGACCCTAGCTCAAATGGATGCTCTCTGGACAACTCTTCCCACTCCTCCAGCCTCTGGTTTAGAACAGTATCATGTGCTCTTTTAGTCCCTTTTCATTTGTATATGTCCTAGATCCAAAACAGACCATATGCCCTTTGAACTGGGGGCTTGTGGCTTGGGAATGAAAAGGCGTGAGTTTGAATCCTGCTTTAGCTGTACCCCACCCAGCTGGTAATTGTTGTATGTGTGAGGATTAAATGAAATAATGCATGTAAAGAGCCTGACACATAGAAAGCATTTAATATAGAATTACTTAATATTATACTCTGCACTGTTATTATAAATTGTACTCTTTCAAGAAGGGGGCCACAGAATTGTTATTTACCAGCCTGCCCTAGCGGTTCTGATAGTCTTAGCGATCTTGCCTACTGTCTTCCCTTCAGACATCTAACCCTCATTGTTTTCTAAGTGTCTCTTTTCCATTAAAAGTTTCTACAACTGTATCATCTTGAATGTAGTCCCTCGCATTCTTCCAAGCAGAGTTTTACTTTACCATCTCCCTTCTTGCCTTAACATTTACTTTCCAAATGATCCCATTTAGGAAACTATGTAAAAACAGAACATGCCACCAGTTTTCTCATCTTTAGCCTCAAAGCCAGAGGTGCACTGAGTGCAAAGTCAGGTTTAAGCAGGAACTGCATCCTCTACATGTAATGACTTAGCAATGGCCGATGGTCTAGAGATCTGAAAGCAGATCACTTTCTTCTCAAGCTTCCTTAAAGCAACCTCAGCAGTAATCTTATCTAATAAAGAGGGAATATGCTAATTGACCCTCATGCCATTGCAAAGATGGTGACACCCACAGCCAATAAGGAGGGAATATGCTAATTGACTGCCACGCCCTCAAAGATGGTGGTGCCCACAGCCACAGGATGACCGGCAAAGGAGGGCAGTTGTGGGCGATCAGGCCAGCAGGGAAGTGCAGTTGGGGGCAACTGGGCTAGCAGGGGAGGGGAGTTGGGGGTGACTGGGCTGGCAGGGGAGTGGTTAGGGGTGATCAGGCCGGCAGGCAGAAGCAGTTAGGGGCAGGCAGGCAGGCAAGCGGTTGGGAGCCAGCAGTCCCGGATTGTGAGAGAGATGTCTGACTGCTGGTTTAGGCCCGATCCTGAGTCGTACATCCCCCAAGGGGTCCCAGACTGGAGAGGGTGCAGGCTGGGCTGAGGGACACCCCCCTCCCAGTACACGAATCTCATTCACTGGGCCTCCAGTATTAAATAATTATGCTTATCGTCACAACAAAGGTGTCTTTCAATTGTGGAAAGAATGCCCTCTTCAGTGTAGCTCAGGTGTTTGGAGCATCATCCCATACACCAAAAGGTTGCAGATCGATTTCTGGTCAAGGCACATATCCAGGTTGTAGATTCGATCCCTGGTCAGGATGCATGTGGGAGGTACCAGTCAATGTTTCTCACTCACATCAATGTTTCTCTCTCTCTCTCTCTCTCTCTCTCTCTCTCTCTCTCTCAAATCAACTTTTAAAAATTTTAAAAATGAAAAAGTATGGCACCAGCTGCCCTGCGGAAAAGCCTGCTCTTCCCCCTTTCTCTATAGAGGAGACCCAACTTCACTCCCATCCACAGGCCAACGGCAATTATTTGTAAAACAGCTGTTCACATTTGAGGTGTCCAACAACCACACAAGGACTCTTTCCCAGAGGCAGACCTGTGGGGAAAATCAAGTTTTCCTAGACACATAATCAAAAATCACCATCTTTTTTTAAGATTGAAAACAAAAATTAAACCTACAATCCATTTTCCCATTCTCATCTGGTTGATTATTAACCCAAGCAGTTAAGTTTGTCTTTGAACCATCTCTTCCTAATCTTAGGATAACCTTGCCCATCAAGCTCTCAAAATCATCTGATTGTACCAAACTCCCAGGCTAGCTCCTCTCTCTTTAGAGATGCTAATAGTATTCCAATAGGAACACTATCATTTATTCAGACTTATTGGCATAGGGTACTGCACTTGGTGTTTCATACCTGTAATTCCTTTAATCCAATTTAATATTAAAATGTAATCAGCTCTTAACAATTATATAAGGTAGGCATTATCATCTCCATTTTTCACATGAAGCAAATGAAGTTCAAAGAGAGGTTAAGTTACTTTCGCTAGGTCTCGCCACTTGGTGATAAAGCCAGAATTCAAACACCAGGCTCTTTAATTCTGTGCGATTCTTTTTCCACCACTCTGCTCAGCCCTTCCTGAAGACAACTTACTGACTTCTTTATTAAAGGATGGATAATCAGGATGCAAAATGGCCCTGCAGCCTTTTTCTATCATCTGAGCCAGATCTTTCAAAATGCCTACTGTCCATCATCCCAGCAATCACCTGGGTCCTTAGCAGTGTGAGACCCAGGAGCAGGAGCTCCGGAACCAGCCCTGCCCCAAGCTCACCAAACCAAGGCCGGACGGTGGACACACTTACCAGTGTGCTTCCGGCTGTGCATCTGTAAGTGAGACAGCTTAAAATATCTCTTATTGCAGCCCGGGTAAGCACACATGAAGGGGCGTTTCTCATTGGTCTCAGATGCCGAACGGACAAGAGTCGGGGCTACTCCGGGCACACGCCGAACGTCCTACAAGCAGAGCATAAGTGAATGCAGGCTTTAGCCACAGGTGAACATGCATGCCAGGTCCCCAGGGAAAGTGAGCATTGGAATATACCCCAGGAAGGGATGGCAGAGCCGAAGCCTACAACTGCTCCACACACCAGATGCCCACAGCAGACATCACTAACGGATGACAGATCAGTGCATTCTACAATGCAGCACTCTGACGTCATCACTACTGACCACCCAGAACCAGTACTTGAAGTCTGTTTGACGTCGATAATCCAGAGTATCTGGAAAAGAAATGCTGGTGACTGGAAGAGCTCCCAGTCCAGCCTGTCTCTCAGCTTCTCCACTAGATGCAGTGAGGTTTGGAAGCCAGAGTCCCAGATTCTCTTCCATTCCCTCCGACTCAGATGCATGGCCACAAGACTGGGGCCAAATTTGCAATGGGTGGGAATGTCCTTATTAGAGAGGCAGGCAGGATACAGAGGAGCTCCAACTAACCAGACCTTCCATGTGTGAGTAAATGACAAGGAAGAGGAGCCCCTGATCTGGGGGTGTTGTCTGTGAAGGGGAGCTGAAACCAGAGTCTCATTGTGCAGTGCTTTAACAGTGACACCAGAAAACACTGGGTCTGCCCTCTGTGCACCATACACATCCTTCCCAGGGCAGCATGTTGATCCCCTTTATCTTCTGAGTGTATGTGTACGGTCAGTCCTACCTGAGAAAGAGCTAGAGGGAAACAATGAGGCAAGCTCCCCTTCATTCTCTTGGGAGACTCTCTCCTCCCCCAAACTGTTCACAGCCTCTGTCTCCCTAGGAGGCAGTATAAAGAGGTGCTTAAAAACAGGGTTTTTGGAGTCAGACAAGTCGTGTTGTAAGTCTCTGCTCCACCTCTTACCGGCTATGTGGTTTTGGACAAGTCACTCATCTTCTCCAGGCTTGAGTTTCCTTACCTACAAAATGGAGCTGATGATAGTACCTACACCTCATAAAGGTGTGCTGAGGATTAAATGGAGGAGGAGGAGTCAATGCATAGACATGCAAGAAGCTTAAATGTGTATTACTAAGTGAAAGGAGCCACTCTGAAAAGGCTACATACTGTATGATTCCAACTACGTGACACTCTGGGAAAGGGAAAACTGTAGACAGTGAAAAGATCTGTGGTGATGGGGGCAGGAGAAGGGGAGGGGGGAGAGAGGAGCAGGTAGAACATGGGGCATTTTTAGGCAGTGAAACGGCTCTGCATGATATTGTAATGGTAGATACACGGCATTATGCATTTTGCAAAACCCACAGAACCACACAGCACAAAAACTGAACCCTAATGTGAACTATGGACTTTGGTTAACAATAATGTGTCAGTATTGGCTCATCCATTGTAACAAATGCACCATACCAAAGCCAGATATTAATAAACATAGAGACTATGTCAGGGAAGAAGCAGGGGAGAGGGAAGATACGGGAACTCTCTGTACTTTCTGCACAATTTTCCCTTGAACCTAAAACATTGTTGTAAAAAAATTAAGTCTATTTAAAAAAAAACAAAAAACAGTCCATGTATAAAACTTAGCACAATGCTTGGCATTTACAAAGTGTCCAGCCATAGGTGGTGCAGTTATTGATGTTATTGTTATTATTAGCAACCCTTGGCAAGATAGAGTCTACCTTTGGGCACTTTACATTGCAGACCAAGTCAAAGGCAGGCCGTTAATTCAAGCCCGTTTAGCCCCAAATGCTAGTATAAGAGCTGCGTAGCCCACCATGGAGAAGGCGAATTAAACCATGAAAAGAGAAAGGATGGGATTCTACAGGAAACATCTTGGCCTGAGCCAGGGAGGCAGCCCCCTTCAAGTTGGCCTCTGGAGAGGAGGAGGCTGCCCTATCTGCCCCCTGGAAGAGGAGGGGTCCCTGCTGTCCCAGGAGCATACAATTAGGAACAGACTTGCTAGGATCAAATGGCCATCAGCAAGGAAGTGAGAGGGTGGATGTTGAGAAGGGAAAGAGGCCATGCAGTCCACTTCCAGCCGGGGCCCGAGCACTCACCTGAATGCCCCTGAAGACACCGTGGGTGTGTATTCTGTACTGGGCGCCACAGAGGATGGGCGTGGTGTGGTTATCGCTTTCATACCCTGTGCCGTGGCTGCAAACACAAGGAAGAGAGAACAAGGCTCGGGTTGGTCCAGAGGCACCATTTGGAAATGTGCATCTGCAGCGGAGGAATGTTTTTTTAAAGCTCACAGGACAGCAGCTGGTTTCTGCCTCCCTCCATCGGGGCTACTTTCGAAGTAGGGTTTTGTGAAGAGCGGGGCTGCTCAATCCTGGTGTCACCACCACGCAGCCCCCCCTCACACTCAGATCCTCACAGACGCACTGCACCGTCCGGGGCTCTGCCTCTCTCAGACAAGCCGGGAACAGTCACAGTGGCAGGAGTTCATCCCCAGCACGCTGTTAACCCTCTAGATGGCAGGGCTGACAGCTGCAAGTATCTCAGGAATGAGCAGATGCCTCAAGTTCACATCAAGTGCAAGGGATGTTTGTCGGCACCTCATGACTCAGTTTTCACCAGATAGCGCCAAGAAAGTGATGACACAAGGAGAGATGTCACATCCTCAGAAGTGGGGGTGACACATCTGTGGCCCTGCTCCACTTAACCTAGAGATCAGTTTTCCAGATCAACTTAACTCTTGGCAGCCAACCCGTGCCAAAGGCAGACACCGGATAATCTTCCTCCAGCAGTAGACTGACTAGTCCCCTAGTCGACGCTCAGGTTAACCGTGGACTACTAGTGAGAGCTGAGGGATGTGAAATATTGAAAAGGAATCGCTTGGAAGGGGTGGACATTCTGCTCTAAAGGTATTCTCTCCTCCAGGAAAAAGCTGATTATCTGTTCTACAGTTATTTTACTTCCAAACGAGGCAGAGTGAGGGTTCTTATCCACCCGGGCGCACACTGCGATCACATCTAGAATCATCATGGAGAGCTTTTATGAAATACCTCTGTGAAATGGTGCAGCGGCTTTGGAAAATGCCTGGAAGGTCCTCAAAAGGTTAGACATAAACTTCCCGTGGGGCCGGCAATTCCACGTCCAGGTATGTTCCCAGGAGAGATGAATCATATGTTTACACAAAAACCTGTGCACATTGTTTTTGAGCAGCATTTATTCATTCTGGCTAAAAAGTGGAATCAACCCCAAAGTCCACCAGCTGATGAGGAAACAAAATGCAGTACCTTCATAAAATGGAATGTTATTTGGCAATAAACAGGAAGAAAATACTGACACCTGATAATGTGGACAAACCTTGAAAACACTGTACTAAGTGAAAGAGGCCACTCACAAAGGACCACCTACTGTGTGACTCCATTTATACAAAGTGTCCAGACATAGGCAGAATTATGGTGACAGAAAGTAGATTTCGGTGGCTGGTTGCCTAGGGCTGGGGAAGCTGGAGAGAAATGAAAACTGACTGCTGAAAATGTCCTAAAACTGGGGTACTAGTCACACAAGTCCGAATATACTAAAACTCTTAAGTCGTATACTCCAAATGAGTGAGCTGTATGATATATGAAACCTGTAAAGCTGCTTTTAAAAAATTACCTCTGCAGAATGGGGTCCATGCACCAGCATTTTTTTAAGCCTCCAAGTGTAATTAACTGGCTGTCAGGGCTGAGAGCCTCCACCCCCTGACTGTTACTCTGGAGATTCCAAGGGTCCAGGGGGCAGGAGGCAGGTGGCTTGGCTGATGAGCCCACTCCATCTGAAGGTATGGGGAAAGTCTGGGGCTGGCTCAACTCTCACTCACCCAGGGAAGAGAATTCCTGGAAGGCAAGAGTGTCTGCCAGGACGCCTGACATGTCCATGTACCCTGTGGCCACAGCAGCTGTGGGGTGTCACATGTAGTTCTGGCTCCAAAATTTTAAGAAAAGATTGACTGTCTCCTTTGCACAGAGCAATGAGAGCAGTCTGGGGAGGTGGGTGGCAGTTTGCTTCCCGTAACCTACTATATACACCTTGTTTCCACATCTTTCAGGTGATTTTTGACATATTTGAAGAGAAATGTCCCAAAGAGCTAAACTAGGGTCAAACACGTAAAAATTGGAAAGACATGCCAAATCCAGATAGTATCTGCCTTTCTGAACCTTAGAATGTGCCTGCCAAGAAAAAGAGACCATGTCTGCGTTCCTTACAATTACATAGACAGTCAGGAAGTGAGAGTTGATGACGATGGTGATGGGGTAGCAGAAAGCAGACAGGACAAGAATGCTGCTGCCAGAACATTTTGCCTCAAAAGCTGTGAAGAGATGCTGTCTGCCTGCTTTAGCCTGCCTGCAGCCAAAATGTGACTTACACACTTTCCAGGGCTGAGGAATCTCTAGGGACAAAGCAACAGGAATACGAATTATTTTAGAGTTCTGCAATCAAAGGGGAAGAATTAGAACTCTCCTGTCTTGGCAGTTGATCTCTGGATGTTTCTGGGTCCCTGGGGGATGGAAGACATGGGGAATAGACGTCACTCAGGATACTTGTCCCAGGAAATGAAGTGCTGTGTCATTCAAAGGGAATGACATGAATCTCACAGCCCGATGCAAGCCAACAAACAAAAGAAGCAACCAGCAACAAGAGTCTTATCTGCCAAATGTGCCACTACATTCTTCTACCAGGTTCATGAATCAGAAAAAAAGCTGAGCTTTGCCTATTGGCTCTTGTGTCTACAGAAGACAAACACACAATGCAATTCCATGCTGTGGAAACTCTGCAACCCAACACTCTTCCCCATGTGGTCTGCCCAGGACACCAAGTACAACCAGTGGGCTCAGTGATGACTCTCTCTAGGTAGGTAACGGAAAGCAAGTCGGTGGTCTTGGAACCATCCACTAATAGAGGTAGGAAAGTAATCTATGCCAACCCCCATTCATAGCGCCTCTAGCTCATCCTCAGCAGGTGAATAGTGACAACTATTTCAAGACAGTCCATTCTATTTTGGGAACGTTTTTATTGTTAGGAAAAGCCTTTCTAAACCAAGCTGAAATCAGTCTCCTCATTTCTTTCTCTTGAAGAACCACAGAGTGAGTCTTACTATTTTACAGGCATCTCTGTCTATCTACTCTGCTCTATGGTAAAGTTGGCCTTGAAGACAGAGACCAACTTGCTTCTCTCTGTATCCTCTCGACTTACTGTCTGACGTAAGGCACATAGTCCATAATGTTCCACAAGATGGACCGAATCTAACTCCTCTTCCACATGACAGTCCTCCAGGTATTTGAAGGCAGCTCTCCAGGCTACAGAACTGTAGTTCTCTCAACTATTGCAACATGAAATGGTATCTAATTCCTTTACTATGTGGATCCCCCTCTTCTTGATCCCCTTCAGTTTGTTATGTGTCTCTCAGAGTGTGGGCTTGGGGTACTCAAGACAAAAAGTTCTATAAAGGAGTTAGGACACACACACACACACACACACACACACACACACACACACACACATACACACACACACAGCCTTTGGAATCAAGAAAGGAACATCAATGCATAAGACTGGAGAGTACATGCCTCACCCAAAGGGGCTCCATTTCAAATTTTTCAAAATCAACATGCTAGTCACACGCAGTACAGTGCATCAGGCCTACAGGCTTCCAGGGCCTGCGGCTTCCCCCCTCAATCAGGACAGAGCAGTGCTATTTACACACCTGAGAGCACATCTTCCTCGCACTCAGGTCACAGTGGTCCTCCTCAGCCAAATAATACCTCCAACCACAGCACCCACCTAGTATGAACTGCAAGCAAGGCAGGTATCTCCAATCTTGAGCTTGAAGACACGATTTTTTCAAGCTTCAATTCAGGACTACACATATATCCTTCAAATTCCATTCTGTTTCTTTCAGCAAGTCATTCCCCACTGTTGAAATCTTTTTGACTCTTGATTTGGCTTCCAATCATTTGCTTTCATTCCTCTTTCATGTTATCTCTACATTTGAAAAGCAGCTTTTCTGTGTTTTCATAAGAGAAAAGGATCTTCCCTGCTGTTGTTGGGAATTATTGTATTTACAATATGTATAGAAGTAATAGAATTTGAGAAGGTCCTAAGGGGAAACTGGAGGGAAAACATCATAGAGAACCTAGTCATGTGTATGGGGTCCAGTCCAACAGAGCATAAGTCATTAGCAGGAGTTAACCTGAGACAAAGGCTCAGGAAGGTGGTGGTCGCCATTGCAACAACAGCCACTGTTAAGAGCCGGCTGCTAGCTTGATGACCAAGTGAAGCCAAGCTTTACCCCAAGAGAGGCCAGCTTTAAAAAATTCGTTACTCTGCTGTGGATGAATAAAATAGGAGTGAGGGTAGGATTTCTAGAAGTCTGGAACCTTGAGGCCTTCCAAAAAGGGCAAGAGGCTACTAGCCCAATGAAGAGAGTTCTGGAACCAAACATGCACCTTCCACAAAAAGGAATCACAGAGCCCTGGACAGTTGTGGGGTAAAAACTCATCATGCCCCAGAGATGAAGGAGTTATCATTCATGGAACTGATAGCAAAAAGGAGGGTTTAAAAGGAAGTGTGAATCCACTGACCAAGCCACTGAAAGACCCAAATCTCCCTTAGGGTGGAAATGCATGTAATGGTTTGATCCACCTTTACATGCAGATAATGAGAAGCAAAATAAAGCAAGCCCAGAGTGATGCACAGTGAGGCATGTGACGCAAGCCTGAGTAAAGCTGGACTTTCTTAGGCTAAGAAATTGGTGCTTTGAAAAATGTTTTCATGATTTTCTGTTTTATTGCCTAGTAAACGTCTCTCTGACAGGTAAGGTACTTGTCCAGATGAATGAAAGGGAAAAGGGATTTGATGACGCCTTGGCCAACATCATCAGGGGGATCACAGTGAGGTGGAATGAGGGCAGCTGTGGTTCAGAGAAGAGCTGGTGGGTCTGGTGGGGTCTGGTGCTGGCAGGCGAAGGTGTGGGGAAGGAGGCTACGAATAATGGGACTACTTCTCCCTCCTGCCACAGAGCACTGCACTAGAAATCACTTGCCAGCTTGATAAACATGCTTAAGAAGCCCCGTTGGGTTTGTTGTTTAACTAGGCACAAATCATTCATTTAAGTATTTAGCCCATAATTCCCTGTCTTGCCCACAAGGACATCAAAAGTG